ATCTTCCAATAAATCCAACTTAAGATAGTTTTTCTTTCTGCTAATGTCATGTAAGATAGATGAACCAGAATTGATGTTAAAATTGTGGTTGCTGGATACTAAGTGTTGACCAAAACTTGAAGAATTTGGTCTTTTCAAATGTTCAGAGACTCTAGTGGATAACTTTCTGATGGTTCTACCTACATAAATGGCATCACAATCATCACATTAAATTAATGTGTTTATCAAATTAATTTAAATTGCACTAAATTTAATCCTATATTTAAAAACTTTATTACAGCTTCACCTCATAGAGGACCCAGCTTGACTGTTTAGACTTCATGCACTGAGCATTTCAATATTAATTTTAAAGTTCTTCCATTGACTGTGGATTCAACTGAACTACGTGGACTATAAGCCATTTATAAATTTTGTCTTCAATTTTGATTTTAAATTTTAGTAATTAAACTGCATATTCAGATTTTTCTTTTTTACAGTACTGATAGCGCTTGGTGGACCATTTTATTGTAGTGAACCATCCACTGTCTAATATATTGTTAGTCTTTTCTTACATTCATACTTTATGTCAACTTCAATTGCTCTCAAACTAACATCCTAATTATTATAGACATGTTTGAGTGTGAGATTGGGATTATTCAATCTACATAAAAAATATACTATATAATTTTATATTTCATCAGTTGATTTCCTATAGTGGTGTCAGTTGGACCTTTGGTCAATACTTAGTTTCATAGAATTTTGAAAAGTGCAGATCACATAACTGCCCTTCACAAGCTGTCATTTGTCACATGTCATCTCAATATTTCCGTCAGACCGGGAGCCCATTCTGTCTCCGGCTTCTATACAACATGTAGCTTCTCCTTAAAATTTTTTAAGTGTCTGTTTATCTTTGTGTATTGTATTTTGTATTGTTATGTCCAAATTTTACATTTATGACATTCTACTATGTCGGATAGGCCACAACTGACGAAGTAAGTCTATAAACGTTTATCACATATAAAATTTTTTCAACCATAAACTTGGAGTTTTTTATCCAAGTGAATTAATTTTCTTTTTTATAAAAAACGTTTCTTGGCTTATTTCAGATGCCCCTGAAGATGATCTATTGATCGAAAGTACTTGGGCAAGTTTAAATTAATCACCGTGTTCGATAGTTGCCTTGTATACCCTCAAAGTTTTATGATTTTGTCTATGTTTGCTTTTATAAATGTCCACGTTTGGGAACCATTAGTAAGAACAGGGAGTACGCATTGATTGTATACTTTGGTCTTAAGATGCTGTGGATATCTTTTGTTTTTAAGAATGTAGCTTAATTTGCCAAATGCCGCCCATGCCAGTCTAACTCGTCTTTTTATCTCTGCTGTTTGGTTTTCTTTGTTAAGCTTTATAGTTTGACCCAGATATTATATAATCCTGAACTTGTTCTATTTCTTCTTGTCCGATTCTCATTTTGATGTCTTCATCTGTATTTGTATTGGTTTTGGTCTTTCTGTAGTTCATATTAAGGCCTAGTTTTCAAGCTTCTACGTCCAGTTCTTTCATCATTTCAAGTAATTCTGCTTTTTTATCGGTTCATCAGCGTACCTTAGATGGTTCAAGCGTTCTCCACAAATTTTTATACCTTTTTCTTACCATTCTAATCTTTTAAAAATATCTTCCAGAGCCTGATGAAAAGTTTCGGTGATATTGAGTCACCCTGTCTCACGCCTCCATTTATTTGTATTGAGTTTGTTCCTTCATATACTTTAATTGTTGTTTTGACTTCCTTATATAATATATTGGCTATTAGTTCCGTATATCTGTGGTCAAAGAACTTTTCACTGACCAATGTTCGATACTGTCGAAAGCCTTTTCGAAATCTATGAACGCTGTATGGCAGGAATGTGGTATTCATTTGCTCGTTATATAAGTATGTTCATACTTAGTAATTGGTCACTTATGTTGAATCCCTTTCTAAAATCAGCTTGTTCTTTCGACTGATATCGAAAGAGAATTTTGTCGTTAATCTATTGGTTAAAATTTTGTTAGGAGTTTATACATTATATTAAGGAGTGATATAGGACGGTAGTTTTTTTATTTGCTTGATCCCGTTTCTTGTGTAGGATAATTGTTACAGATTCCTTCCAGTTGTTTGGGATTCTTTTTTCTTTTAATATCTTGTTAAAAAGGGAATGTTGAGTATTAGTTACCACTTGTCCACCATATATTTCAGCATCTCTGAAGTTATCCCATCTTTTCCAGGCGATTTGTTGTTTTTCATTTATTTCAATGCCTCCTTTATTTCTGATTTGCTTATTTCTGGCTGTAGCTTTGAGGTGACATTTTTTATGTTAGCCTGAAGTTGGTTTTTAATTTCTTCTGGTGGTTCCTTTTTTGTTTTATATAATTCTGAGTAAAAATGGTGGATTATATTTATGATGTCATCTTTAATGTTTGTTTCTACTCCGTTTACAAATAATAAGATAGAGCACTCCATATCATTCTGGGTATCACATGATATGGACAAATTACTAAAATTTTCGTCATTTTCTCTTGATTTTTTCTACTTCAAGTTGCTTTGTTAGACATTGAATTACCTCTTCATTTGCCACTCTGTCAACCCAGCTGTAGTATCAAGATCCTTCGCCGACTAGTCCAACCGATTTTCCATGTGCACTTTACCCTTAATTTAACAAGCCTTAATAGAACAGTAATTTTTGTGAAATTGTTATTAAGGTAGTGTAATATGGTATATCACAGGGCATTTTGACCATTTTGGCCATGGGGTCATCCATGAGCTCGCGTTGGCAGGTATGCCATTTCTGAAGTAGATCTATCTTCTGCCAGGATCGCAGAGAGGTATCTACTCACTACTCATTCATACTACCCACACTATATATTCGTACAGAGGATATTGAATAGAATATTGAAGATTTTTAGAATATAAACAACACTTTTGATGTTAAATGCGGTTCCAAAAACCTAAAAGTATATTTAAAATGTAAAAATGTTGTAGTTATAAAAATATTGTTTATATCATATTGTTTACAAAAATCAAATCAAAAATGAAAGTATTCCCGTGCCATTCATAATGAGATAACGTTCTACACCGGTCAACAATTACATCTATATGTATAAATCGTCGTACACGTAGTTTTGACTGTAAAACGGCATGAATATACTGGTGGTACACCTGGCGCTGGATAAAAATCACTGTGTCCGTATATGGTACACATGAGAGTTCAAGTGTTAAGCAGAGCTATTAAAAATTTAAATTGTAACTAAATCTTGACTATTTTCTGATAAAATAAGCTTTTTAATAAAAACGGTGGGTAAGATTTTAAAGGAATTTTAAAAGTATATGAAACTTTTATTGGAATATATATTTCTCGCGCAGAATGTGATTGCCAATATATCTCCATTTAAAAGAAAATCTTGGCTGCTCTTGGAAAATCATATTAGGGAATTGCAATTTTTATAAAAATTCTATAATAATGAAGTTTTCTTTTTATTCTGGAGCATACTGGAATAACAGACATCTTGGAAAATTTGATTTGAAATTTAATTTTAGTCTATGCGACAAAAATGATTTAAATCTTATACGAAGCCAATTTTTGACTAAATAATTTTTCCTAGAAATTTTATTTCATATTATTCGTTAGTTATTTGGTTTTATGGTATCATAGCTAAACATTATAATCTAATCTTTTAAATTGTAGTCAAATAAAAAAATAAGAGAATATAAAGAAGTAAGCAAAATGTTGAAAAATATAAATTTTTTTTTGTTTAATAAAACTCCAACAGGAATCTTATGACTATTGCTATCTGATCATTCACTATGATCAATAAGCAAGTTAGTTCTATATATAAATATTACAAGAAACTTATCTAAGGTTATATTCAGCAATATTCCTTAGGCTCTAATACATTATAGTACTACTAGCTAACGTGTACACTTTAGCCGCACTTTACTCTGCTTTTTCACTTTCACTCACTTATAGCACTAAATCAAACGGCTTCGTTCTCTTTAGTCTTCTTATCTGGTTGGCGTTGTCTAGGAGTTTGATGGCCTCGACGTTCACGTGGTTGGAGAGCCTCTGTTCATGACTCTCGGCAAACTTACTTATTGTCTGGATAACTGTATCCATCTGGAGGTCTCGATGAAGATCACAGTTTCTAAAGTACCATGGAGCGTTAACGATGTTCCTTAATACTTTATTCTGATATCTTTGTATATGTTGGATGTTGCTTTCTTTTGTACAGCCCCATAGCTGTATTCCGTATGTCCATATCGGTTTAAGGACTTGCTTATATAATAGCAATTTGTTGTAAATAGACAGAGTGGATTTTTTCCCATCAACCAGTACATCTTTCTGAACTTAATTTCTAATTTCTTCTTTTTTTTCTTAACATGTGCTTTCCAACGTAGCTTGGAATCTAACGTCATACCCAAATATTTTGCCGTATTTGCATAAAGTATTTGGTTTCTATTTATATGTACTGGGATATGTTGTTCTCTTTTGTTAGTAAAATTGACATGAACAGATTTTGTTTCATTCAATTTGATACGCCATCGGTTGGTCCAGATGTTAATTTGTTCAACAGAGTTCTGTAACGTGGTAGCTGCATCCTCGTGGTTTTGTCCGACTGCTAGTATGCATGTGTCGTCTGCAAATGTCGCAATTGTGTTAGGTTCTAATGATGGAATATCGCTGGTATAGAGCAGGTATAGCACTGGCCAGTAGATACTCTATACCATTCCTGGTGCACTTTGTGGTGGGAGAAACCGGTTCCAATCAAGGTCGAGCTCAAGGTCGAGGTCAAGGTCGAGGTCAAGGTCGAGGTCAAGGTCGAGGTCAAGGTCAAGGTCGGGGTCAAGGCCGAGGTCAAGGTCGAGGTCGAGGTCAAGGTCGGGGTCAAGGCCGAGGTCAAGGTCGAGGTCGAGGTCGAGGTCAAGGTCAAGGTCGGGGCCAAGGTCAAAGTCAAGGCCGAGGTCAAGGTCGAGGTCAAGGTCGGGGTCCTCAAACTTGACCTTGACCTCGACCTTGACCCTGACCTTGACCTCGATCTTGACCTTGACCTTGACCTCGACCTCGACCTTGACCTCGGCCTTGACCTCGACCTTGACCTCGACCTTGACCTTGACCTCGACCTCGACCTCGACCTCGACCTTGACCTCGACCTTGACCTCGACCTCGACCTCGACCTTGACCTTGACCTTGACCTTGACCTCGGCCTTGACCTCAAACTTGACCTTGACCTCGACCTTGACCCTGACCTTGACATCGATCTTGACCTTGACCTTGACCTCGACCTCGACCTTGACCTCGGCCTTGACCTCGACCTTGACCTCGACCTTGACCTCGACCTTGACATCGATCTTGACCTCGACCTTGACCTCGACCTTGACCTTGACCTCGACCTTGACCTCGACCTTGACCTCGACCTCGACCTTGACCTCGACCTTGACCTCGACCTCGACCTCGACCTTGACCTCGACCTTGATTGGAACCTGTTTCTCCCACCACAAAGTGCACCAGGAATGGTATAGAGTATCTACTCTGGCCCCAGGACACTTCCTTGTGGAACTCCAGCTTTAACTTCTCTTAATTCTGAATATGCTTCTTCATATTTAACTCGAAAGTATCTGTCTGATATATATGATTCTAGTAGTTCAGAATATTCTTTTGATAAGTAGCATCTCATTTTATGATATAGTCCATCATGCCACACCTTGTCAAAAGCCTGCGCTACATCGAGGAAAATTGCGGAACAAACTTTTCCTTCTTCTAGAGCTTTTTCTATGATATCTGTTATTCTATGCACCTGATCTATCGTTGAGTGGCTTGCTCTAAACCCAAACTAATAATTAGGAATTAAATTTTTTTCCTCTATAATCGGTTTTAGTCTCTTCAAGAGTAATTTTTCGTATAATTTAGACATGACAGGTAACAGTGAAATAGGCCTATATGAAGAAGCTTCTTGTGGAGGTTTTCCTGGTTTTAGTGTCATTATAATTTCTGCCACCTTCCATATTTTTGGTACGTACCTCAACCTAAAGGAAGCGTTTATAAGATGTGTTAATTTTATAATAGCTTTCCTTGGAAGTTGCTTTAACACTTCCCCAGTAATTAGATCAAATCCAGGAGCTTTCTTTGGATTTATGTTTTCTTTTATTTCCAAATATACTTCTTTTGGAGTTACAAGGCTAATCTCCATTTCGTCTTGATCAGGGAGCTCCCAGTTTATTCTTTCTTGTTCTTCATTTGGTTGAAAAGTATTTTCTAGATGGTCAGCAAACCTGTTGGCCTTTTGTATATTGCTTCTTGCCCAGCTACCATTAGTATTTCTAATTGGTGGATACTGTAAGATTGGCCTTTTTAATCGTTTAGTAGCCTTCCACAAAGAGTAATCAGTAGCGGTATCATTTGATAGTTCACTTAGGTAAATGTTAACCGATTCGTTTTTAATTTTTTGTATTTCTCTTTTTAATTTTTGTGTGGCATTATTTAATCTAGTTTTATCAACTGGTGCTCTAGACTGATGCCACTTGCGTCTTAGTTTTCTTTTTTCGGTTATCATTTCTCTGATTTCTTTCGGGTAGTTATTACCTTTTATTCTTTCGACACTGTTCGTGGTGTTGTTCCAAGCAGCTTGTTGTATATTTTTATTGAGTAATTCTACTTCTACTTCTAGTTGATCAATGGTTCTTAATGGCACTGAGAGGTTAATCTTCTCTTCAAGGTCTATCTGGAAACTTTTCCAATCAGTATTTTTGTTAACAAGTCTAGGGGGGCTTTCTTTTTTGATAACAGTATCACTGAGTGTGAGAATAATTGGAGAATGGTTCGAGGTCATATCCAATGACTCTTCTATCTCTATGTAATTTGTAGAAATATTTCTAACTACAAAGAAGTCGATAAGGTCTGGAATTTTATTTGTGTCAGTAGGCCAGTATGTTGGTTTTCCCGTTGATACTGCGTCGCATTTTATGTATTTCATTGCTTCTAAAAGTTCTTTCCCTTTGGTTGTAGTCAGTCGTGACCCCCAATGCGTATGTTTTGCATTGAAGTCTCCTCCAAGGATAAATCTATGTCCTTGACTGGTCAGGAAATCTACGTATTGATTTTTCTTGATGGTATGTCTTGGCGGACTGTAAACTGCTGTGACGATTACCTCATAATTTTTACATTTAATTTTTACTGATGTGGCCTGAAATTCTTTTGTTCTGTAGCCAATTTCCTGATAGTGCATAATATTTTCCTTGATTATTACTGCACTACCTCCTTTGGCTGCATTATCAGGGTGAGTAGTATGATAAGTTTTGTAACCCCTAAATCTAATATATGACTCATTCGTAAAATGGGTTTCAGAAATGAGGCATATGTCTATTTTTTCTATATATATCGCTTGTAGTTCTTGCTGATGTTTCAAGATTCCATTTGCATTCCATTCTAGTATTCGTAAATTACCCGCCATTACCAAGTCTTTTCCTTTGGTGCTATATTCTATTCTGGTTATACGCTCGTCTAGGTTAGTTAATCTCTCTAGTATTTTTTGTAGTGTTTGTTCTATTTTCAGATCTTTTTGAGTACTATAGTTTTCTTCGTTACTTTTACCAGCTGCTACCATACTATAAGTTCTTGTTTTGTTTTCTTCATGTTTTGGATTTTCTACAGGTTTTGGATGCATTTTTTGAGGTTGTCTGGGTAAGGTCTGTTTCTTGTTATGTTTATCTTTAATTTTTTGTATTTCCTTTGCCACGATACATCCTCTATAGTTAGCCGGATGCCCTTCTCCACAGTGGACACATTTAGGTTTTGCGTCCTTGGGTTTTTCACATTTGGCTGTAAGGTGTTTTCCTGTGCAGCGGACACATCTCGGTTCTTTCGAACAGTAACCTTGTGTGTGTCCATATGCCTGACATCTCTTACATTGAGGTACCAATTTTGATTTTCTGAGCGGAAGTATTTGTACTTTTACGTTCATGATATCTGAGATCTCATAGATTCTATTGATATTTTCGTCATTCCTGAATACCAGCATAAACATATTTAGTGGTTGCTTTGTTTTGTATTTTAATTTTGGTATGACATCTATTATCTTGAATCCTTTATTACTTAAATCGTTCATGATCGAATCCTTACTGGCTGAATGATGTAACTTATTGACCATAACTTTAATGGGTCGGCTTTGCTTATTTTCATACGTATGCCATGGGTAATTTACTTCAGTCAACTTTTTCGTTAATTTTCTGAAGTCTTCTTCACTATCGACATTAATTTTAGCGCTCTTGTCTCCAAGTACTTTTATCTGGAATTTAGCAGTATGTAGTCTGACTAATTCATGAAATTGGCTAAATTCGGCAATACTCTCCACAATTATTGGAGGTGGGATTTGTGTTTTTCTGGTTTTTTCTTCTCTTTGTTGGATATATGACTCTTTTTGTGGTGGGGTCAATGATGTATCCATTTTACGTTTTTTGAAGTTTTTGACACGTATCCACTCTGTCTCCTTAGCTAATTCCTCATCGTCAGTATGAAATTCCTAATTCTTAGGTTCTTTCTCTTTGGACAAGTTTTTTTCTAGATCTGCAAATTTTAATTGCAAGCTTTCATTTAATTTTTGTAAGGTATCTAACTGGAGTTGGAGCTGATTTATCCTATCCGTAGCGTAAATCTTTTCCATTTCCGTCTGTTTCCATGCCGTGTACAACAGCTGTTCATTCTGGGACCTTGCATAATTTTCCTGAAAGAGTGCACTATTTTGTTGTATTAACAGTACCTCGTTAGGTGTTTGCGGACCCGCATTTTGTTGGATCATTTTAACGAGAACCAACAATCCTGGCAGTTACTAGGTGCCCTTCATTATTTCTAACCAAGCGCCCGGACTATAAACAATTCAAAAGTAATTTGGATTATCTTACCAGTTTTTGTCACTTAACTATTTTCGACTTAATTATCAAATGATAATTAGCAAACACGGAAACACACAACCTTTATGATACGTGGTTAAATGAAAAATATAAATAAAAAAGAAAAAAGACCACAACAAAAATAAAAATAAGTAAAGAAAGAGTTTTAAACAAACAAAATATGAACGTTCTATAACACAGGCCTATAGTGTTTTTGGTAACAAAGTGTTTAGAGTTGATTTTAGGTATATTTGGGGTGCTTATTCCGAATATGGCTTTCGTTTTGCCCAATCAGCTCTGGTTTTCAATATAACGTAGGTCATGCCAGTTTTTATGCAATAAAATACGAATATGCTGATATGTATATATAAACTAAATTAAAATAAAGATCATACACTTAGAAAATATGTTTATTTTAAGCCATTTAACTACAATAAATTCCTTCGTACAATGAAACAGATATTTAATTAGTTTTGAGAGAAAACTAACAAAATAGAAACAAAAATAATTTTAAAGAAGGAAAAAGAAAGGAAAAAAAGCTTCGCTTGCACGATTTTATGGAATAAACTTTTAAACAGTCTCTCTTCAAACTCCAGCAAAAGTCTGCTATCATATGAGTATCCCATCTTTCTTGCTAGCGGTCCTCCATAGTTTTTATGTCTTGGTGAAATCTCTCATCTAGCTCCTCACTTGTGTCACCTAAGTTTTTAGGGAAACTTTCTAGATGACTGTGAAGATAGTGGACTTTGATGCTCATATTACATTGAAGTGATTAGAAGTTATTCAGCAAATTGTTTACCAGCTCAGCATCGTTTTCACTTCTGTGATTTCTCAGAGAATTTTTAACAATTTCCACAAATGAAAGCCAAGCTTTTTTCTCTACATCACATAATTAACCCCACAAAAGCCGGATTCTTTGTAAGAATTCTGATTTGTGGTCCATCAAAGATTCCAGTTTTAAGTTTTTCCGTACTTATTTGATACAGATTCGTTCCTATGTAGGCGAAGTAAGGTCTATTAGAATCAAGTGCCTTAACGAATTGCTTCATTGGGCCTAGCTTAATATGGAGGGGTAGTAAGATTATTTTCTTTGGTTCGACTAAAGGCTGCGTAATAATGTTCTTTTGCCCAATTACCAGATTTTTCTCTTAGGCCACTATTTCTTATTCCAGTGGTGTTTTCGGTCCCTACTATTCCAGAAGTACAAGAAGCAAGGATATTTTGTGTGTCCGCTTTGCTGCAACACTAAAGCTATTGTAGCATATTCTTCTTTCATCATGGTTGAATGAGCAATTGGTATTGACAGAAAAATTGTTTTCATTGTGAAGCAGAACACATTTCAAACTGCGCTTTTAGCTATTAATAAACAAACACCATTCATTTGCATTGCAGTGTGGAATAATACAAATCGTATACATCGTAGTGTGAAATATAAAATGGCATAATACAGTGAAAATATCAAAAATACTAAGGAAGAAGTTTAATTAACAATGTATATTCCTTTGAATATTCCAATGTATATTTCTTCATTATCTCAAATATTAAAACTACTAATTTTGTATTGTGCCATATCC